CATTATTTTGAAGAGCATCATACATACTACAGATATCAAAGAATCATGAAAGTGCGACCAGTAGTTTGAAGCAGTGATTTTGAATATTTTTCACATTTTATATAAAATAGTCAGCAATGATGCATTATGGGAAAGGGGGGAGGGCCCATATACGATACACATTGAATTGACATATATTGAGAACTATTGTATATACAAACATGGAACTAAGGCTATATTGAAGACATTGGACAAGAGAATTGACCAAAATATTGGTTGACCATATATGGTCATAGAACTCATTAAATATGCATATCTCTAATATCTCAGGCACTATTGCAAGTACAAACATGGAACCAACGCTATATTGAAGACATTGGCCGAGAGAATTTACCAACATAATCGATGACCATATATGGTCATAGAACTCATTAAATATGCATATCCATAATATCTCGAGAACTTTAAAAGATATAGACATGTACCCAAACTTATATTGAAGGCATTGGACAACAACATTGACCAACTTATAAAATGACCATATATGGTCATAGAACTCATTAAATATGCATTTCTCTTATATCTCATGCACTATTGCAAGTACAAACACGGAACCAACGCCATATTGTAATATTGAAGAAGAGAATTGACCAACACAATCGATGACCATATATGGTCTTAGAACTCATTAAATATGCATGTCTCAAATATCTCAGGCAGTATTGCAAGTACAAACATGGTACCAACGCTATATTGAAGACATTGGACAACAGAATTGACAAACATAGTTGATGACCATATATGGTCATAGAACTCATTAAATATGCATATCCATAGTATGTCAAGCACTTTTAAAGATAGAGACATGTACCCAAACCAATACTGAAGGCATTGGACAAAAAAATTGACCAACATATAAAATGACTATTTATGGTCATAGAACTCATTAAATATGCATATCCATAATATTTCGAGCACTTTTAAAGATAGGGACATGTACCCAACCCTATACTGAAGACATTGGACGAGAAAATTGTCCAACATATGAGATGACCATATATGGTCATAGAA